ACATTTTTGTATCCAGAAGACTTGAATCAAACTGCACATTGGATTTGTATGCCTCAAGACGAACATTTTGCCACTCTCCATTGTTGGTGAAGGATTATAATGGAAATTGTATTAGGACAACTATATTGGACAATTTAGCCACTACAGAAACTGAGAATAGAAAGGTTCAGAACTTTTGTGAAACAGCACAGCACAGTGGGTAAATATATGGCAATTAGAAATCAAAACTGGATGGTCTTCGGCGATAGATGGGAGGGGTTGAGGGTAGCTGAAGGATGGGACTAAAAACAAACAAAAAAGATAACTGATGTCAAATACTCTACATGGCCTAAAGTATAAATCATGAACCAGGGTGTGACATACACTACATGACTAAAAGTATGTGGACACCTGCTTGTCAAACATCTCATTCCAAAATCATGGGCATTAATATGGAGTTGGTCCCCCCCTTTGCTGCTATAACCGCCTCCACTCTTCTGGGAAGGCTTTCCACTAGATGTTGGAACATTGCTGCGTGGACTTGCATCCATTCAGCCATGAGCATTAGTAAGATCGGGCATTGATGTTGGGCGATTAGGCCTGGCTCACAGTCGGCGTTCCAATTCATCCCAAAGGTGTTTGATGGGGTTGAGGTCAGGGCTCTGTGCAGGCCCAGTCAAGTTCTTCCACACCAATCTCAACAAACCATTTATCTATGGACATCACTTTGTTCACGGGGGCATTGTCATGCTGAAACAGGAAAGGGCCATCCCCAAGCTCAGAATCGTCTAGAATGTCATTGTATGCTGTAGCGTTAAGATTTCCTTTCACTGGAACTAGGGCCTAGCCCGAACCATTATTCCTCCTCCACCAAACTTTACAGTTGGCACTGTGCATTGGGGCAGGTAGCGTTCTCCTGGCATCCGCCAAACCCAGATTTGTCCGTCGGACTGCCAGATGGTGAAGCGTGATTCATCACTCCAGAGAACGTGTTTCCACTGCTCCAGAGTCCAATGGCGGTGAGCTTTACACCACTCCAGCCGACACTTGGTGTTGCGCATGGTGAACTTAGGCTTGTGTGTGGCTGCTCGGCCATGGAAACCCATTTCATGAAACTCCCAACAAACGGTTATTGTGCTGACATTGCTTCCAGAGGCAGTTTGGAAATCGGTAGTGAGTGTTGCAACCGAGGACAGGCGATTTTTACACGCTACGTGCTTCAGTACTTTACGGCCCCGTTCTGTGAGCTTGTGTGGCCTACCACTTCACGGCTGAGCCGTTGCTCCTAGACGTTTCCACTTCACAATAACAGCACTTACAGTTGACCGGGGCAGCTCTAGCAGGGCAGAAATATGACAAACTGACTTGTTGGAAAGGTGGCATCCTATGACGGTGCCACGTTTAAAGTCAATGAGCTCTTCAGTAAGGCCATTCTACTGACAATGTTTGTCTATGGAGATTGCATGGCGGTGTGCTCGATTCTATACACCTGTCAGCAACGAGTGTGGCTGAAATAGCCAAATCCACAAATTTGAAGGGGTGTCCATATACTTTTGTATATATAGTGTATGTTGAACTACAAATAATAAGAAAGTGGAGTTGGATTGGACACACCCTACGAAAACTGTCCACCAACCGCTCGCCCTCCATGAAATGGAACCCCCAAGGGAAAAGAAAGAGGGGTTGACCCAAAAACACTTAAGAGGAGAGATTTCCAGTCAGAGATGACAGAAAAATGGTGGATAAATTTAGACAGTTCACTCAGGCCGTTTACCATTGAAAGACATGGTCAGTTCCCGTCTACTTAAGGGGGTGGCTCTCCCATAGACACCAATGTGATAGCAGCTGGGTCTGGTCTACTTAGTTAATTGACTTCCATAGAAACAGAAGAAATGAGGGAGTGGGCTGTTTCGCTTCCTCTTCCATCTCTGATGCCAGAGAGCAGCCACAACTGGTGCCACCTGAAAAAACTTTCCCCGGCCCGAACCAAGGGGGATGAAGGACATTTGTGAATGGCCTATGCTCTTTATAGGAGCCAAGTAAGTAAGTCAAGTAAGACAATTTATGAACATCTTTAAAAATGGTAGTTACATCAGGTTTTCAACTAAACGTATCCATCTACCAAAGTGCTGGGGATACCTGACACCTGGCAGACATTTATGTTAAACAATTGGACATGTGAAAACAAGTATCCTATTGGCCTATCCAGAACAGTGTATGAAGGAAGGAAAATGAGAGGAAGCCGCTATATACCCTTGAGACACACCGATTGTCTGACTCTGCGATGATATTAGAATGCCTGAGAGAGGAGGAGGGGTTGATGTGTCCTTGTGAAAGTCACATTGCTTGTTCATGTGTTTATAGTAATAGTTTAACTATTCACAAACCCTCATGAACAAGCATATGAGAGGCAGACACATCCTCTGTAGACATGGTTTCATTTCACACATAGGGAGTTCACAGAATCAATTAAACACCTCATCTTTCAATTAGCTTGTTTTTCTGTAACTGGGTGGTTACTTGGTCTTGGAAGTTTCTGGGTAGAGGTTGCCCTTTGACACATACCCAGGATCATCTTAAAACCACTCTCTACCTTTTGTTTTCAGGCAGATAACTCTGACCTCTGTCGTAGGCCGATCTTCTACTGCCACTCAAGTCTTCACCACACCCTCCACCCTCCTCCATTGAGAAAGCCAACATGGTCAGTATATCCTGCAACAACCATATGTGAGGGAACAATTTACCAATCTGATTAGACAATAATAAGGCAGCAAGGTGATGAGGCGCTGCCTCTTGCCCAATTGCAGATTCATAACACCTTAAAGGTGAGCATTTAGAGCTTTACCACTTGAACAGATCACTAGTCTTTCCAACCACAGGTGAACGTACACAAGAGTAATTTAGGGCAGACTCTGTCATTAGAACAGTGATGTATATTTTGCCTCAATCACTTTTTTTGCTTGCTGCATGTCATGCTTTGGAAGAAGAAGAGGATGATGATGATGATTAGGTGAAGGACCACAGAGTCTGTTATATAGTCAGGTGCATAGCGCTTGGTGTGTGTATTTGTTTATGTATGGTCCACTCTGGTCTTATGTCAAACAGTAAGTATGAAAAATGCCTTATCATAGCTATGTACAACTGGAAGCATATTAATGTGACTGTAACGCCCATAATCCTTATAATAAAGGTTCTAAATTCAGTGATATTAAATTAAATACTGCTACTCCTGCCTTCCAGTTTGGGGGCACATACAGTATCCAAACTACAGCATATAATGCATTCACATTAATACACTTTGTGGGTGAAGTGCATTTATAAAACATGTTTTTATTTATAGCCTATCGCAGATGAATAACTGAACATCTTGGTCTCTGATCACATTTCTCGGTCTGAATGTATAAACCGAATAATCTAAGAATATATGAATTCCCTAGAGAGGTATTGGAAGATTTCTGAAAAGTAGCGGAATTGATACTTGTAAAAATACTGCCAATACTGGCGTCAACAACCTATCTTGATGCATGAAAAAACAACATCTGACTGGCAGTTCCAATGGCCAATCGCATTGTCTATGGTCGGGGCTCTTTAAAGTGTCTACTAATAGGCATTGAGGCAAAGATGCTGCGAGTGTTAGAAGGAGGTTAGGTTGTCATGTGGTAACCAACAGAAGGTTACGAGTAAAAAAAAAAAAAAAAAAAGATTATTTGATAATCTGACTGGTTTTGCGTAAAGGGAAGAGATATGGAATGAGTCAGATACCACAGATGCGAGTCTTGTGTTGTTTTTGGAGCCATTATTTGGACGTTTTTAATATTCGTTGTGATCGGCGAGACACCTCGCTTCACGCGGTCGTTCTACTCGCGATGCTGGACAGAGAGCTGCATCATCATGTTGCTTCCGAGTTAGCGAAAGAAATCACAAGTTACACCAGGGGGATAGTGAGTCGTAGTCATTTAGCTACAGAGGCTACCTGACAATTGCAATTGTAAGCAGAAAAGGAGGGATGTATTGGCTACATCTGTTGATTTGGCTTGTTGGCACTTCAGCGATACATTGTCGCGCCCGATGATGTGAACTAAAGAAGATAAGTAACTGGTTACATTGTAGCCTATCACTAGTGTTTATGCCTGGGATTGGCGCGATATTCCTCATTTGTTGGGTGGGTGCGATTGTAATTAGCCAACATTTTGATTATGGGCACAGAGTGGTTGAATTTGGGATAAAGAAAAACCAAAGGGCATTATTTTTCAAACAGAACTTTGCCACTGAAACAGGCTAATCTATCCAGACCTAGCCTACGTCGTAATCATCTGGATATAGGCTATTATTCTTACAGTTCATATGTACTGTTATTGGCGCCATCATCATCAAGTGACCTCTTGGACTTGTCAAGGGAGTGCACATGTTTAGTGTCTGTTGGATTACAACATTTGTGTAGGATAGCCTATCGACTCAGACACTGGACTCTGCTCGGATTATAATCATGACCCTGGAATGTATGGAAAATCGCCAAAGAGATGCTGACTTCATGGAACTATGCTGGTGACATTTCTCATATTCTAACAAATAGTTGACATAGTATTGTGCTGCTGACTGTTATTGAATCGGATACGTATTGATTTTAGTGGGAAATTGTGCCACTGTCTCAGTACTTGATATGTTTTAACCACACAATGGAATACAACATAAATAGCCTATCCAAATAGGTTGCCAATAGGTTAATTTCAAAGTTGCACAGGTCTGTTGCATCCTATGTGTTCCTGAACCGTCGGTAATCATTGGTCACAATCCACTTATCCTGTCACCGCATCCTCGTGGAGTTCATGTAGTGATACTTGACAACTTTGGGTCGAGGAAACTTCCAGCCGTGATGCACAGAAGGCTCCCTCCATTGTAATCTCCAGACTGTTGCAAAAAGGTGACGCAGCTTTTGTTTTTGCTGTTGGACAGCGGAGAGAAAGAGGGATTGACTCAATAAGGAAAAAGTAGGCTACAGCAGATAAAAACGCCAGGCTAAAATGGCCGGCGACTGCAACTATAAGATGCATTATGTGAATGATGACACATTTTCTCCATCCAAACCTTTACGGGACCAAGTGCGGGTGCTCGCGGTGGAGCCCGACGCCCCCAGCGTTCTGCAGGGGAGTGGGTCCGTGTATTGCTCGCCAAACTTCGAGATGATTGATGGGCTGCTGTACCGTAAGAAGTTGGAGAGAGGTTTCATCCACTACCGGGAGGTGCTAGACGAGGACCGACGGCTCGGGGCGATCGCCACTTTCCACGGGCGGCGGCCAGGCACGTGCCACCACTCCCTGGAGGACACGTACAGATCAGTGGCCGAGAACTACTGGTGGGAGGGTGAGTCTGGTCGGGTGGGATGGTTGGTTATTATCGATCCCCCATTCAGTTAAGCCTATACTCGATTGATTTCTCTGTGGGTTAGGACTGATGGTTGTCTATATTTACTGTCACTTTCTTTCGTCTCTTTCTCCTTCTCTCTCTCTCTCTCTCTCTCTCTCTCTCTGCCTTTCTCTTTCTCTCTCATTCAGACCAACTTTCTATCTCACTCAATTAATTTATCTTTCTAGCTGTTCCTGTCTGTCTGCCTGTCTAACCACCTTCTCTCGCCCTGTCCTGTAGGTTTCAGTGAGTGTAGCCTGATGTCTCTGCTGGACTTCTCCTACTCCTCTACCCTTTTTACACAGGACAATGATTAAAACCACTTAGGTTGCTCCCGAAAGTGGCCTTTAGGCCAAAAGAATTGGGCTACACCTCATCTTATCACATTGTAGACTGTTATTGTAATGTTCTTGTGAGGCTTAGTATAGGCCAGGGTTTCCAAACTTCTCTATCCTCCTATCTTCTGGTGAGATGATGTATTCCTCTATTCTGTAAAGAGGGAAGTCCCCTCCTCTTTACAACCAGAGAGACCTGAAAGAGAAGTTGAACTGCAGGCGTTAGAGGTGTTATTATATTGCAACATAAGTCAGATTGATGCTGTATAATGTTGAATAAATACTGGTCTTGTTTTGCGGTTAAAAAAACAATTACCCTTTTGGTGGTCAAAAACACTGCCTGTGTAATGTGGTTTGTTTCGTTAATATAAAATCCATTATGATGATCATTGCAATAACGTACATGATTGATCCTTCCTCAGGGATGTACTTCCAGATCCGAGACTTTGTCCGGGGATGTCCAGCGTGCCTGGAGCAGAGGAACAAGAGACCCGAGGTAAGAGATGGAACCATAGAACATCAGCTGATGATCATCCTGATGTGACGGCACTGATACTGAATAAGGATGTTTTCACTCATGTCATTCTCTCCCATCTCTCTGCCACTCACACGTTTGCTCTCTTTCACACTTCCTTCTCTCACATTCTCTTTCCTTCAATCACTTTCTCACCCTCATTCCCACGTTATTGGTGACTCTGTTCTACTCTCGCTCATGTTAATTCGCTCTCTCCTACAGAAGCGTGTGGGCGAGAGGCGTCTCTCTCAGACGATGATGTCACACAGCCGTGACATGCTGAATAAACTGAGGAGCCAGCGGGAGGCGGGGCTGTTCTGTGACATCACTCTGAGGACTGACGGACGCTCTTACTCCGCCCACAAGGCGGTGCTGGCAGCGGTGAGCGAGTACTTTCAGGAAGTGTTCACTGAGATGGACTCCGCCCCTAGAGCCAGGTCTGACATCGACCTCACAGGTACGAGATGGACACACACACACACACACACACTTTTGTATCTGTTTCTGTTTTCCTGCATATACTCTGCTCTCTCCTTTTGTGGATGCCCATGTTGTTTTGTCATGGACATGACAGCTACTGCTCTGAAAAGGAACTTAACAGCACTTTCTACCTCACGCTCTTTTCCACCTTTTCACTCCCTCATGTTTGGTCTCTCCTCCCACTGTTTCCCCCCTCTGGTCTTCTCAACATATGTCATTTACAGAAGTTCAATCAGTAAGGCTGGTCTGAATGCTCATTTAACTTCATCCAGTCAGCATAACATAATTCACTTTGTTTCCTATTATACAGGTATAGTGGGAATGGAGACAAACGTATCATCATCAGCATAGTCTTGTTTCTTCTCCACTTTCCTATTAGCCATGTGTGGAATGTCATTCACCTATTTACCTTATAGCCTATAAGCACCGCACAATAATGCTCATACCTCAAGCTTGCTGTTTAACCTACAGTGAGGGGAAAAAAAGTATTTGATCCCTTGCTGATTTTGTACGTTTGCCCACTGACAAAGACATGATCAGTCTATAATTTTAATGGTAGGTTTATTTGAACAGTGAGAGACAGAATAACAACAAATAAATCCAGAAAAACGCATGTCAAAAATGTTATAAATTGATTTGCATTTTAATGAGGGAAATAAGTATTTGACCCCTCTGCCAAACATGACTTAGTACTTGGTGGCAATCACAGAGGTCAGACGTTTCTTGTAGTTGGCCACCAGGTTTGCACACATCTCAGGAGGGATTTTGTCCCACTCCTCTTTGCAGATCTTCTCCAAGTCATTAAGGTTTCGAGCCTGACGTTTGGCAACTCGAACCTTCAGCTCGCTCCACAGATTTTCTATGGGATTAAGGTCTGGAGACTGGCTAGGCCACTCCAGGACCTTAATGTGCTTCTTCTTGAGCCACTCCATTGTTGCCTTGGCCATGTGTTTTGGGTCATTGTCATGCTTGAATACCCATCCACGACCCATTTTCAATGCCCTGGCTGAGGGAAGGAGGTTCTCACCCAAGATTTGACGGTACATGGCCCCGTCCATCGTCCCTTTGATGCGGTGAAGTTGTCCTGTCCCCTTAGCAGAAAAACACCCCCAAAGCATAATGTTTCCACCTCCATGTTTGACGGTGGGGATGGTGTTCTTGGGGTCATAGGCAGCATTCCTCCTCCTCCAAACACGGCGAGTTGAGTTGATGCCAAAGAGCTCGATTTTGGTCTCATCTGACCACAACACTTTTACCCAGTTCTCCTCTGAATCATTCAGATGTTCATTGGCAAACTTCAGACGGGCCTGTATATGTGCTTTCTTGAGCAGGGGGACATTGCGGGCGCTGGAGGATTTCAGTCCTTCACGGTGTAGTGTGTTACCAATTGTTTTCTTGGTGACTGGTCCCAGCTGCCTTGAGATCATTGACAAGATCCTCCCATGTAGTTCTGGGCTGATTCCTCACCGTTCTCATGATCATTGCAACTCCACGATGTGAGATCTTGCATGGAGCCCCAGGCCGAGGGAGATTGACAGTTCTTTTGTGTTTCTTCCATTTGCGAATAATCGCACCAACTGTTGTCACCTTCTCACCAAGCTGCTTGGCGATGGTCTTGTAGCCCATTCCAGCCTTGTGTAGGTCTACAATCTTGTCCCTGACATCCTTGGAGAGCTCTTTGGTCTTGGCCATGGTGGAGAGTTTGGAATCTGATTGATTGATTGCTTCTGTGGACAGATGTCTTTTATACAGGTAACAAGCTGAGATTAGGAGCACTCCCTTTAAGAGTGTGCTCCTAATCTCAGCTCGTTACCCGTATAAAAGACACCTGGGAGCCAGAAATCTTTCTGATTGAGAGGGGTTCAAATACTTATTTCCCTCATTAAAATGCAAATCAATTTATAACATTTTTGACATGCGTCTTTCTGGATTTTTTTGTTGTTATTCTGTCTCTCACTGTTCAAATAAACCTACCATTAAAATTATAGACTGATCATTTCTTTGTCAGTGGGCAAACGTACAAAATCACTGTATGGGCTCCCTCTGGCAATTATCACCTTCCTATCTCTTAAATCTGTATTTAGGTCAACTTACCCATGTTCTTTCACTTGCTGTTTTTTCAGCAACAGTTTTTGACAACCATCCACCTCCCCACCACCACCAGCTCAACCTGCCCTCATATCATCTGGCTCCGAGGATTTTCTCTCGCAGACAAGGCCATTCCCCAAACAATTTAATAAAATGTCATATTGCATTCCTTTGTTGTTAATTCAGTTAAGACTAGATTGAACTGTCTGTGTGTTAGGACTGATGGTTGTCTGACGGTTGTGCCGATATTTACTGTCACTTTCTTTCGTCTCTTTCTCCTTTTCTCTCTCATTCAGACAAACGTTCTATCTCACTTACTCAATTAATTTATCTTTCTAGTTGTTCCTGTCTATCTGCCTGTCTAACCACCTTCTCTCTCCCTGTCCTGTAGGTTACAGTGAATCTAGCCTGATGTCTCTGCTGGACTTCTCCTACTCCTCTACTCTGTGTGTGTCTGAGGAGGACCTTCCAGAGGTCAGCACTATGGCCCGTCACCTGGGCATGTGGCCTGCCGTGGAGGCCTGCTCTGCCCTCCAGAGGGAGCAGGGGGACCATGCCGCCCAATACCCCACCACAGAGCACCCTGCCCTGGGCTTCTCATCGCAGATCCCTGGGTCTCCCCTGGAGCTCCACCACCACCAGAGGGACAGGAAGAGGAATAGGGGGTTGGCTGGAGAGGGCAGGGAGAGGTTGGCTGGGGGGAGAGGGGTAAGGGGGGTGGTTGATGGTTTCAGACTGATTCTGGATCAGTCCGATGAATCGAGGGAGGAGAGCCCGACCAGACGGTCACCCCGTCGCCCCCCCGGACCAAGTCCCCTCCCCCCAGGGCAGAACGGCATCCCCCTCAGCCCCACCCGCAGGATGAAGCTCATGGACTTCAAATCTCCCTCCTGTAAAATAACTCCTTCCCCCCCAAAAAACGTATCCTCCACCCCCCGAACCCGAAACACCCAATCCTCCTCTTCCTCCTCCTCGCCCCACACACACACGCGTCTTCTCCGCTCTACTCCCGGGGCCGCCCAGGAGGTCCAGAGACTGCTGCCCAGGACAGAGAGCCATCGGGGCCGAAAACCACACCCTGTCCCCCATCCTGCCTCCACCTCCTCCAGCTCCTCCAGACAGAGGGCTGGCTCTGAGTCCCCCATAGTGAGGGTGAAGCAGGAGGAAAAGGAGGGGGACGAGGATGAGAAAGATCATTTCCGAGCGCTGGAGAAGTACCGCCTGATGAACGTGCTCGGGTTACAGAGGACGTCCCTCCTCCCCAGACCAGAGGATCTGATTGGCTGGAGGCAGAAGAAACGCTTGCGGAAGTTGAAGGTCAATAACTATTCGCTGACCAAGAGGAGGAAACCTCGCCCCCAGACGTCAGGGGGGCTTGCGTTCGGGGAGCTGCCCCTGTCACTCCCCCTCTGTACCCCTGCCAAAGCCCACTTCCTGAACAGGATCATAAAGACGGAGCCTGAGTATCCAACCAGCATGGAGGACATGAGACTGAAGAGACCCAGGCAGCCCCGGCGGTTTCCGCCCAGTGACAGGAGCATGCGCAGTAAAGTAGCGTTACCGGACCTGCTACAGCCCGTGTCCAGGCTGGCCTATGGAGGGAGGGATCTCAGGCGCGCTGTCAGGGGTGTTGAGGTCAGCCACCCCCCTCCACGCCTCCCATCCCGTTCTGGGAACACCAGAGTTCCAAATCCCAAGAGGAACGTCTCTACAGTCCGGATCAAACCCGAACCTGCTGACTACGCCATCTCAGCACTGCCCCTCCCCTCAAATGGCCGACGCCCAAACACACCCCTCCCCCCTCCCAGGGCCCACCCCAGGCACAAGGTTACCACAGAAACTGTCAGGGCGCTCCGCTACAACAGCGGGCGTCCGATGGCCAAGGATAAGCTGAAGCGGAGTGGCATGAAAGAGGCTGGGAGAGCCCAGCGTAAGCCAAGAGAGGAGAGCAGGAGGACAGGGAGCAGCCAGGGAGTGAGGGGGATCATGGAGAGAGGGCCTGGAGCTATGAGCAGCAGGAAGACGAGCAGCATCCTCAGCCTTGACCCTGTTCCTCCTCCCCTCCACAGCCATCCTCTGTACAGGGTCATCAAGGAGGAACCAGCAGACCCCCTACCCGTGGCGGGGTCCTTCTCCGAGCCACCCTCCCCAGAGCTGGGCAAAAGGCAGGTTAAGCCCCCAGTCAAGCTCCTAGACCCAGGCTTTCTCTTCAGCTTCTGTCGGCCGGCAGGAGGGCCCATGTTGGGGGTGAAGAGGGAGGAGGAGAGTGTGGATATCTGCCTAACACGGTCTGTCTCAAAGGGAGAGAGGTTTGGTCCCGGGGGGGCCCCAGCCAGGGTCCTGAGGGCCAGAGTAGGCCCCCCCACTCTTAACAGGGCTAAGAAGGAGAGGGAAGAGAGCAGTGTAAGCCAAAGTCCAACCCAGAGGCAGGGGCCACCAAGAGCTGTCAACTCTCACCAACACAAATCCCCCCACCTGGATAGAGCCACAGGGTCAAAGGGTGTTCGCCCTGCACGGGACATACCAAAGGTAAACACCAGGGGAGGGGAGGGGTGTCATAGTGTAGCTTTTCTTGCACGTTCTCCTATGATTTGGGCAAGTTTTAATATTTAAAAATTATATCTGTCACATGTACTGACATGAAAACATAAGATGGATGAACGAAATGGCATAGGTCTACTAACTTTCACATCTCCAAGTCTCTGAAATCAGTACAGATTAAGGAAAGGAGGCAAGGAAAGGAAGCCAGGATGAAACTATTGAGATGCAGCCTTGCTTCCCTCCACAGTGGAGAGTAGAGGGTAGGTCAGGAGTGGGTGAAGTTAACTGTTATCTCTCCATAACACCATTCATCAGACTGAGGATTCAGTTAGGGGTTAAACGGGCTGAACCAATCTCAACCCTGTCTGAGGGGGAGGGTGTTCTAATCATCAGCCACACTTTTGTTTTTCTTTGGGAACTAACTGGAGCAAAATGTTAACACTTTAATGCTCTCTTAGATTATGTTGGGAAAAGTCTGATCTGGGCTAGGATTACATTCTTCTTTTGGAGATTGTAAATTGAGTTTGATAACATTCCATATTGATTGCTCTCCGCCGACACATGCATAGATCATCAAGCTAAAATATGTAATGTAAATGGTGTAATGACCATGTAACTGGGTGCTTGTCCAGCAAAAAAGAGCATTAGGGCATCTTAAGAAATACGTGTTCCCGAATGTTATCTAACAGAATGGAATCGAATTGATTCTGTTTCTCCCTCTCTGTCTGCAGAAGCCAGCTAAGCCCCTGCCTAGCCGAGGCCCCGCCCTGTTGGACTCGATCCGCCGGGCGCGGCTAAAGCAGCTGCGGGGTCCTCTCAGTCAGGCCCCCAAGGCCAAGTCGTCCCACATCTGCCTGCAGTGCCGAGCATCCTACAAGGACTGTAACGCCCTCATCATGCACCGCATCAGGCACATCGAGGGCAAGCACTGGCCCTGTCCTGTACGTACTGCAACTGTTACTGTCTTTGAACATTCCCCTCCCTCTCTGTGTGTTGTAGCTGTGTATTGAAATATATGTTGGCTCTGTGTTGTAGCTGTTTCCTTATACATACATACATACATACATACATACAGTGAGGGGAAAAAAGTATTTGATCCCCTGCTGATTTTGTACGTTTGCCCACTGACAAAAAAATGATCAGTCTATAATTTTAATGGTAGGTTTATTTGAATAGTGAGAGACAGAATAACAACAGAAAAATCCAGAAAAACGCATGTCAAAAATGTTATAAATTGATTTGCATTTTAACGAGGGAAATAAGTATTTGACCCCTCTGCAAAACATGACTTACTACTTGGTGGCAAAACCCTTGTTGGCAATCACAGAGGTCAGACGTTTCTTGTAGTTGGCCACCAGGTTTGCACACATCTCAGGAGGGATTTTGTCCCACTCCTCTTTGCAGATCTTCTCCAAGTCATTAATGTTTCGAGGCTGACGTTTGGCAACTCGAACCTTCAGCTCCCTCCACAGATTTTCTATGGGATTAAGGTCTGGAGACTGGCTAGGCCACTCCAGGACCTTAATGTGCTTCTTCTTGAGCCACTCCTTTGTTGCCTTGGCCGTGTGTTTTGGGTCATTGTCATGCTGGAATACCCATCCACGACCCATTTTCAATGCCCTGGCTGAGGGAAGGAGGTTCTCACCCAAGATTTGACGGTACATGGCCCCGTCCATCGTCCCTTTGATGCGGTGAAGTTGTCCTGTCCCCTTAGCAGAAAAACACCCCCAAAGCATAATGTTTCCACCTCCATGTTTGACGGTGGGGATGGTGTTCTTGGGGTCATAGGCAGCATTCCTCCTCCTCCAAACACGGCGAGTCGAGTTGATGCCAAAGAGCTCGATTTTGGTCTCATCTGACCACCACTTTCACCCTGTTCTCCTCTGAATCATTCAGATGTTCATTGGCAAACTTCAGACAGGCCTGTATATTTGCTTTCTTGAGCAGGGGGACCTTGCGGGCGCTGCAGGATTTCAGTCCTTTACGGCCTAGTGTGTTACCAATTGTTTTCATGGTGACTATGGTCCCAGCTGCCTTGAGATCATTGACGAGATCCTTCCATGTAGTTCTGGGCTGATTCCTCACCGTTCTCATGATCATTGCAACTCCACGAGGTGAGATCTTGCATGGAGCCCCAGGCCGAGGGAGATTGACAGATCTTTTGTGTTTCTTCCATTTGCGAATAATCGCACCAACTGTTGTCACCTTCTCACCAAGCTGCTTGGCGATGGTCTTGTAGCCCATTCCAGCCTTGTCTACAATCTTGTCCCTGACATCCTTGGAGAGCTCTTTGGTCTTGGCCATGGTGGAGAGTTTGGAATCTGATTGATTGATTGCTTCTGTGGACAGGTGTCTGTTATACAGGTAACAAGCTGAGATTAGGAGCACTCCCTTTAAGAGTGTGCTCCTAATCTCAACTCGTTACCTGTATAAAAGACACCAGGGAGCCAGAATTCTTTCTGATTTGAGAGGGGGTCAAATACTTATTTCCGTCATTAAAATGCAAATCAATTTAAAACATTTTTGACATGCGTTTTTCTGGATTTTGTTGTTGTTATTCTGTCTCTCACTGTTCAAATAAACCTATCATTAAAATTATAGACTGATCATTTCTTTGTCAGTGGGCAAGCGTACAAAATCAGCAGGGGATCAAATACTTTTTTCCCTCACTGTATACAGGCCCGTCTGAAGTTTGCCAATGAACATCTGAATGATTCAGAGGAGAACTGGGTGAAAGTGTTGTGGTCAGATGAGACCAAAATCGAGCTCTTTGGCATCAACTCAACTCGTCGTGTTTGGAGGAGGAGGAGGAATGCTGCCTATGACCCCAAGAACACCATCCCCACCGTCAAACATGGAGGTGGAAACATTATGCTTTGGGGGTGTTTTTCTGCTAAGGGGTCAGGACAACTTCACCGCATCAAGGGACGATGGACGGGGCCATGTACCGTCAAATCTTGGGTGAGAACCTCCTTCCCTCAGCCTGGGCATTGAATATGGGTTGTGGATGGGTATTCCAGCATGACAATGACCCAAAACACACGGCCAAGGCAACAAAGGAGTGGCTCAAGAAGAAGCACATTAAGGTCCTGGAGTGGCCTAGCCAGTCTTCAGACCTTAATCCCATAGAAAATCTGTGGAGGGAGCTGAAGGTTCGAGTTGCCAAACGTCAGGCTCGAAACCTTAATGACTTGGAGAAGATCTGCAAAGAGGAGTGGGACAAAATCCCTCCTGAGATGTGTGCAAACCTGGTGGCCAACTACAAGAAACGTCTGACCTCTGTGATTGCCAACAAGGGTTTTGCCACCAAGTACCAAGTGTGGTCCTCTGTAGCTCAATTGATAGAGCATGGCGCTTGTAACGCCAGTGTAGTGGGTTCAATCCCCGGGACCACCCATACGTAAAAATGTATGCACACATGACTGTAAGTCGCTTTGGATAAAAGCTTCTGCTAAATGGCTTATTATTATTATTATTATTATTATTATTATTATTATTACTAAGTCATGTTTTGCAGAGGGGTCAAATACTTTTTTTCCCTCACTGTATGTATATATATATATATGTTGGCTCTGTGTTGTAGCTGTGCAGTAAGACATTCTTCAGGATGAGGAATGTGAAGAACCACATTCGGACCCACGACCAGAGGCTGTATAAGTGTCGCGGCTGTATGGCTGTATCCTGAGACCTGACTGGGGAAGGAGGTGAGTGTCCCTCTGTCCTGCTTAAGAGCAAGACACAATAACCAACGTCGGATGTGTGCAGTAGCTCACCTGCTGGTGTCAACTAGCTGTGGTGCTTCAACATGTAGAATAGTCGGGAAATGAACAGAAAAATACGGCTGATGTTCTGTAGTCGGAGGCGACAGGACGGCCTTCCGCTGCTTTAAACTGTTTGATGGCGCCGTCTGTTTTGTCCTTTTTAAGCAAGTGTAAATGGTCAGCACTGCTCCTACCAGTGAAGATGATTGTATTTGGTAAATAATTCTACAATATGCCTTTATCACTGATTTCCTGTCAGTCGTGCATTGTCGGACTAACTCTTCAGTTCCCTAATTGTCCTGTTTGTGTTTTAGGGTTAAAGCTGTCTACATTGACTGACGTGATGAGGAGAAGCACATTGTTGAACTGCAAGCTTGTACATACAAAGCATCAGTCCACATCCAAACACAAGGCTCCCAGGAGAGATGTAATTACTATGACGATGATGTTCATGATTATTGTAGTAATTCTTGATTGTTTAATGTTATTTAAAAAACCAAACGTAAGTTCTTCTTTGCATTTTAGGTAGTTACAGGGGTTTAAACTTGAACGTTACACTCAGGGGGTGGGGAATCTGTGAGGTCACTGTATTTAAATGGTCGACGACGTCACAGTATGTAAACTAGAATTGTGTAGAATGGAAATTACGGAAAATTATGATGATGATAATTATTACTACTATTGCTATCAATATTTTTCTATGTATAGACTGAATCTTTGAGTGCACCTATACCATAGCTTTGTTGTAAACCTAAAATACATTGATGTAACGGAGGGGTAGCCGGAGAGCAGTCCCAGGTGAAAATACTTGAAGGTTCACAGGGGTTGATTTGGAGATGGAGTTTGGAGAGTGTCTCTTAAAGTCTGTAGATGAGGGGAAAAGTTGAGTGTCCTTCTACTCTCTTCTTTGGTGTTCAGAGATGGTATGAGTTGGCTAGTATCGCTTTATGTATCGGTTCTCTAGTCTCACCTTTGTCCAGGGTCAGGGTTTGGGAAAGGGGGTTGGGAGGGGGGAATAGGCCCAATCACAAAAGGACCTCTAAACACTTGATTGATTTGAAGCAATATGGAGAAACTTCCCGATAGCAGATCAAAGGGAAAGGTAGATGTATTATCATATTGCTTATACATGTCATATCCTCTCAGATCTCCACAAGTACATAGGGTCTAGGGGTCCATTTGGGAATGGGCCCATGAGTTTGCTAGTTTGGGGTAAGGGGGTTCTATGACATCCCTGCATGTTTGATTGCAGGTCTGTTTCCTCCCCTTGTCTTTTCTAATGTTACTATATATCTATGAAAGGGAAAACTGTCAGGTCTAAATGTGAATCTCTGAAACGTGTAATCAACATTACTTTCTCAATACTGAAGTTTTCATCTGGATTATATACCGTTTTTATTTTGGCTCGGTAGTCCAGAATGTTTTATTTGAAATGATACAATGACTATGAGGTTAAAGTGCAGACTGTCAGCTTCAATTTGAGGCTATTTTCATCCATATCGGGTGAACCGTTTAGAAATGTACAGCACTTTTTGTACATAGTGCCCTAAAATATTGGGACAAATTCACTTGTGTATTAAAGTATTCAAAAGTTCAGTATTTGGTCCCGTATTCCTAGCATGCAATGATTACACCAAGCTTGTGACTCTACAAACTTGATATTTGTGTGTCTGTAACTTTCTCACTCATCATTATTCACGATTAATTCAGGACTATCCGTAATCATGGTAGCATCCACATGAATGTAGAAGTGTTTAGAAATATATTTTAATTTTACAAAAGAAGTGACCCCAAAATGACACAATATATTATTTACCATTCATTTCTATTGGGCACAAAATAATCATAAATACAACCAAAACAGCAAATGCATCTAACAAGTCTGTAGAGTCCCAAGCTTGGTTGTAATCATTGCGTTCTAGGAATATGGGACCAAATACTCAACCTTTGACTACTTTAATACACGTATAAGTGAATTTGTCCCAATACTTTTGGTGCCCTAAAATGGGGGGACTATGTACAATAAGTGCTGTAATTTCTAAACAGTTCACCCGATATGGATGAAAATACCCTCAAATGAACGCTGTCATTGTTTGATTTCAAATCCAAACTTCTGGAGTATAGAGCCAAAAGAAGAATAAATGCTTTACTATCCCAATAATAATGGAGGGCACTGTATATGTTTCTCCTTTTTTAATTAAACTAGGATGTTTGGCCTTTTTTTTTATATTTAAGAACCTCCCTCGTACTGAATGCAACGCGTGCACATACTATGGAGACATTGAAGATGTTCCGAATTAGATTTTAAGTCGGATGATTAAGACTCCTTTGGTGACCTGTAAAAAGAATGATATGGAATAAATGTTTGCCTTTTACATTTTTGCCTTTCCTCTTTGAAATTAGAATCGTTTTTCACATATTTGTTTCTTTGTTGTCTGTATTCTGTTGACTGTACAGTAGACAGAGTAGCTATATACACTGAGTGTACCAAACATTAAGGACACCTGCTCTTTCCATGACATTGACTGACGAGGTGAAAACTATGATCCCTTATTGATGTCACTAGATGAAGGAGAGGAGACAGGTTAAAGAAGGATTTTTAAGCCTTGAGACATTTGAGACATGGATTGTGTATATGTGCCATTGAGGGTGAATGGGGGGAGGTTCCAAGTAAATATTAGGAAGGTGTTCTTAATGTTTTGTACACTCGGTGTATAACACTTCATTCTTGGGCAATGCATGTTTGATAAATGCATCAGCTTGGACATATATATTGAAAACCTTAGGTATTTACCCAGTTAAATAGTATTATAAGTATTATACATATTTCAGGCACATCCTCATGGTCCTACTAACCATAGTCTGTCCTCTCTGTGCTTGTCCAGAGGGTTAGGAGGAACGATAGAAGGCAGGAATCTACCAGTGACGGTCACTAATTCATTTACTGTGCTTATCATTCAAACAAAATTCTGTGATGTCACAGGCGTATTCAGATAGATATGTAACCATGACTTGTGTAACACCAAGAACATTATCAAGCAGTACCTGATACTACCACAAGACGCCAGCCAATACTAGGTAGTGAGAATTGGCCACTGGTGCTGTGGGTGCCTCTGCTAAATGATTAAATCATTTTCTTGCATCTAGACTCTTCTAAATGGCCTCCTGTAGATCTGAATGGTTTGGATAGGTGTATGTGTCAATAATATGGTCATAGCTAATAAACAACAGACTTACACCAACCCAGTTCTTTCAGATCTAAAAGGGCCCCTTGTCATGAAGTGTCTAAGGCTAGGGGGTTATTTCAGACTGGGTATCAGACAGTATCAGTAACATAGTTAGCCCTTACTCATTGGATGTGAGTATGTAGTGTTTAAGTGTTATGTAAACCGAATTGCATGTTTATAAAAAAATGTCATCATCATGTTGAAACCATACCAGAGAAGGGACAGCATAGTGTGCAAAACTGTTTATAATAGTGTTCATTCATTTCCTCCTGATAAAAGCACAACATTATACCATTTCATACTTTACCATTGTCTATCACTTCTGGGTAAAAATTAAGTACCTTACTGTGATTGTTTTCAATTAAAGTGGTCAAAATTAGCAATTTCTCAGGCAATAATTTTGATGGTACTGTCTGGGAGTGGTCTGCGTGGGTAGGATAAAACATAAAACTAGCTGTTATTGGCAGAGAGGTTTGGAACTTATTGGTCTATTAACATATACAGTACCAGTCAAAAGTTTGGACACACCTACTCATTCAAAGGTTTTTCTTTATTTTTACTATTTTCTACATTGTAGAATAATAGTGAAGATATCAAAACTATGAAATAACACATATGGAATTATGTAGTAGCCAAAAAAGTGTTAAACAAATCAAAATATTTTAGATTTTAGATTCTTCAAAGTAGCCACCCTTTGCCTTGATGACAGCTTTGCACACTCTTGGCATTATCTCAACCAGCTTCACCTGGAATGCTTTTCCAACAGTCTTGAAGGAATTCCCACATATGCTGAGCACTTTTTGGCTGCTTTTCCTTCACTTAGCGGTCCAACTCATTCCAAACCATCTCAATTGGGTTGAGGTCGGGTGATTGTGGAGGCCAGGTCATCTGATGCAGCACTCCAACACACTTACACAGCCTGGAGGTGTGTTGGGTCATTGTCCTGTTGCAAAACAAATGGTCCCACTAAGCGCAAACCAGATGGGATGGCATATCGCTGCAGAATGCTGTGGTAGCCATGCTGGTTAAGTGTGCCTTTTGAATTCTAAATAAATCACAGACAGTGTCACCAGCAAAGCACCCCCACACCATCACACCTCCTCCTCCATGCTTCACGGTGGGAACCACACATGCGGAGATCATCCGTTCACCTACTCTGCGTCTCACAAAGACACGGCAGTTGGAACCATATATCTCAAATTTGGACTAATCAGACCAAAGTACAGATTTCCACCGGTCGAATGTGCATTGCTCGTGTTTCTTGGTGTCCTTGAGTAGTGGTTTCTTTGCAGCAATTCGACCATGAAGGCCTGATTCACACAGTCTCCTCTGAACAGTTGATGTTGAGATGTGTCTGTTACTTGAACTCTGTGAAGTATTTATTTGGACTGCAATTTCTGAGGCTGGTAACTCTTATGAACTTATCCTCTGCAGCAGAGGTGACTGGGTCTTCCTTTCCTGTGGCGGTCCTCATGAGAGAGAGTTTCATCATAGCGCTTGATGGTTTTTGCGACTGCACTTGAAGAAACTTTCAAAGTTCTTGAAATGTTCCGGATTGACTGACCTTCATGTCTTAAAGTAATGATGGACTGTCGTTTCTCTTTGCTTATTTGAGCTGTTCTTGCCATAATATGGACTTGGTCTTTTATCAAATAGGGCTATCTTCTGTATACCAACCCTACCATGTCACAACACAACTGATTGGCTCAAACGCATTAAGAAGGAAATAAATTCCACAAATTAACTTTTAACAAGGGACACCTGTTAATTAAAATGCATTCCAGGTGACTACCTCATGAAGCTGGTTGAGAGAATGCCAAGAGCGTGCAAAGCCGTCATCAAGGCAAAGGGTGGCTATTTGAAGAATCTCAAATATGAATTATATTTTGATTTGTTTAACACTTTTCTGGTTACTACATGATTCCATATGTGTTATTTCATAGTTTTGATGTCTTCACTATTATTCTAAAATGTAAAAATAAAGAAAAACCCTTGAATGAGTAGGTGTGTCCAAACTTTTGACTGGTACTGTATATATTTGATATGCTGTAATATTTTAACACATTACCTAGCAGCCAACCTGCTTGCACCAATCCCATGCAATTACAGTAAAATACTTGTACAATACAAACCCCGCCTCCCCTCAATTAAATTAATTCATTACAATTACCATGAAACGATTACAGTAAGAGTATTTGTACCACAAAACTGATTATGGTCACATGCTGTACTGTAAATGTACAGCATTATACTGGCAGCAGAGTTGCCAGCATATTACTGTAATTACACAATACAGCTATGTTGCTGTAATGATTACAGTAGGATCATTTACAGTATAATGCCGTATCGTACAATACAGCACCGTTTTTCTTTCTGTAAAACATTTTACAGCATCCCTGTAAAATTACAGTATTTAGCTGGCAACTCTGCTGCCAGGATAATGCTGTAAATGTACAAGGAAAAGTTGTACAGTGTATACCTGGCCATTTCTAGCCCTGTTTGGAGCAGAGGTGAATCTATTTGGAATGTAGAGATGTGTAGACATGTAGAAATGTGTTTTGTAGCGTCCGGGTTGACCCTTTTTGCATTCTCAAGGTTCCATGGCTCCCTCTGGTGACGTGACACTTAGTAATTCTTCATCTGAAACTGGATGTGTGGCTTCCCACAAACCAGCAGGAACTATGGGAAGACGTTGAGGACGAAGGTGGTCCAGAATAACAACGGGCCCCAGGAGGTGAAGGAGACCGTTCAGATCACAGTGGGACCAGAGTGTGAGAAGATCATTAATGGGAACGAATGGTGGAGAGGAAGGGTTCCACAT